TAATTTGAAAATGACTACTATAAATTAGGGTAGTATTTTTTATTGTATTTAAATTTAGATAGCAAAAAGAAGATATAATCACAATCTGAAATTTTGTGCTGGGTGCTTAATCTGTTCAAACAAACGTTAAATATTTGAACATCTGGGGGGGGGTTAAAAAATATTTGTTTTTAAAACCTCTACAGGTTTTCTGGGGGATTATTTGGCTTGGTTATTTATAACATGTTAGAAATAGGAAGCAGGCCCCACCTAGGAAATTCCTCCTGTTTAGCTTCTCCTCCTCCTCCGCTTCCCATCTCCTTTCTTTTCCTGCTCCACTCCCTCTCTCTCTCTTATTAGTATATATTGTATGTTTCCTGGTAGATTAATTCTAGGTGACTTTGGTCAGTATGCTAAGTGCTTGTGATATCGTTTGTGTGCTTTTTCTTCCATAGGTAGGCAGAACCCTACCACCTAAAAACTTCTTCCTTAGAATCCCTTCTGAGAAATTCTAGTTTTCCATCCTTACTACCACCAAAAACATTGGTTGGCCTTATATTTTTTAAGTGGTAACCTGAATAGTCAGTGGTAGAATCACACTGGGAAGAATTTGAATGTTTCCAGAGAAAATGTGTTTTTAAACAATATGTTAAACCACAAGAACCCAGAGTTCTTTCCTTTGAACTGTGCATTACTGTTTTTGCTCTTGAGTTGAAGTGAAAGAGATTATTCTGTAATGTCAAGCAATAAAAAATATTTGGCCATTTTCTTTTTCAAAAAAATTTTGTTTATAAAGTCAGTTATATCCATTCACAGACCTTGGAGCTTTATATGTGATAGTGCATAGTGATCACAGGACAACTACTTCTTTGGAGGCAAAACAAACAAAATTCATCTGTATGATCTGTGAACTTTGGCATTTTGTCAAGGATGCCTACAGTGTACCCTGTTCCCTTATATTGTCTCTTTATCTTAAAGAGCAGGAAGTAGGACAAATGATTATCAAGCTCTGAAAATTTGCTTAACTTAAAAATAACTATTGAATTTATCATGTAGCAGACACCATACTAATGCCTGACTTTATGTGTTGCCCTCCTAAACTCATTTGAAGCAGTATTAAATCTCACTTCCCAGAAAAATGTGGAAAATCTTCATTTTGGGGGATATTATGTAATTATCTCTGCTAGAAGCTCCCCCTTTAATTTATGGATTTCTAGATAAAGAAACTCAGAACTAATGGGAATAACAGAGATAGTAGGACTAATGAGGGATTTTAGAAATTTGAAAATAACAGAAATACTAAATAATAAAAACAAAATCAGGCTTACCACAGTGACATAAATGAGAGTACCAGAAGGAACTGATAGGGACCCAAGTATACTAAAACTTAGAATGTTATTTATTACCTTTCTTTAATAATTTTTCTTAGATTTAGATATAACTGGGAAGTATTTAAAGAAATTAAATTTAACAAAGCCACTTAATTTCCCAAAGAATAAATATAAGCTAGAATCCTTTGAATATTAATAGAGCCTAGCGAGCATTCTATTATGTCAATTCAAAGTATTCTTATATTTTAATTTTTTGTTTGTTACCCTCCCCTGAGGATATTTTTTCCATTTCTTTTCAGAGAGAATAGAATGGAGGGGGGACGGGGAGAGAGAGGGAGGGAGAAACATCGATGTGAGAGAGACACATCTACTGGTTGCCTCCTGCATGTGCCCCAATGGGGCGGGGAGTGAACCGGCAAGCCAGGTACATGCATTTGACTGGGAATCAAATCTGTGACCCTTTGGTGTTCAGTCCATCACTCTAACCACTGATACACACTGGCCAGGGCAAAATTTTCTTATATTTTAATACAAGTCCCAAAAGCTTTAGTAAACCAACTTAACCATTAAGTGTTTTAGGAAAATAGGGTTGTAAAATTGAGGTTTTTTAGGCTCATTTACTTGTGCTTATATGTTAATGTTGAAATAAGGAAAAACTACAAATATTTTAAAATTAACTTCAGAAAAGCAGTTTTTCTCCCGATCTTTTAATGTAATTATGTGACCTTGCTATGTGGATAAAAGAACGTGAAAATGATATAAACTGAGTATGAGGGTAGACAGGTAACAAGCAACTGGGATCCAGATTCTTAAAGACTTTGGGTTTATTCTCAAGTGATATGGGACGCTATTTTACAGTTTTTAGAGGAGTAACATGACCTAACTTGTGATTTAAAAGAATCATTTGGGCTACTATGTTTATAATTGACTGTAGGAGGAAAGGGGCAGAAACAAGGGACTATTCGAGAGGCTATTGCAATAATCCAGGGAAGAGATAGTAAGGGTAATTCAAACTAGAATGAAAATAATGAGAAGTGGTTAAATTCCAGGTACATTTTGAAAGCAGATCCCACAGAATTTCCTGACAGTTTGGATGTGAGCTCTATGAGAAAGAGCAGGGTCACTACAAGGTTATTTGCATGAACAATTGGAAGGGATTCAAGTTGCCTTCGTCTGAGATGAGGAAGACCAAAACTGGATCTGGTTTAGGGGATAGAGGCATGTGAGTAGATCAGTTTTGGACACATTAAATTTAACATTGGACTGGAGCTACACACTTGGAAGCCGTAGCCTGTAGATGGTAGTAAGCCCATGTCCATGAAACTGGACATAAATTGCCTGGTAACTGAGCATCAACAAACAAGATCGTAGCTGAAAACTAACTTTCTAACTATCACAACTTTTCCTGGCTCCAGTGTTGCTGACAGCCCAGTTCTGATCTAATTAAGGACCAAAACCAATTCTTCTCAGAGTTTTTGGCCTAAACAGTGTACCATATATGAAGCAGTAAGCATTCATTAAATATTTATTTCCCTTTCATACATTTCATAATTTAAAGGATAAGTCAATTTAAATGCAGGATGCCTGGATTGAGCCTCTTCTCTCTTCAGTAGTGTTGGTTTGGGGAAATTATGAATGAATTACATTTATCTGTTTTACTAGAAAATGACAAGTATTTAGGTTACTAAAGCATAAGGCAAAATATTAGGTAATATTAGGTTGAATGTGATAATTGAAGAGAAAAAAAATCAAATGATAAAAACAGAAACCAACCTATATTCCCTCGGGCACTGAGGAAAAACATCACTCATGGTTCCTATACTTTGGGGCACATGGAATTACCTGGCCATCTCTTAAGGATACTGGTATTTGTCTCCTACTCCCAGACCTTCTGATATATTTGGTATAGGGTGCAACCAGGGCATCAAGAGTTTCAGAATTTCTACAGATGAGTCTAATGCACAGCAAAGTTTGAAAACTATTGTCATCTACGCTATTTTTTATAATCCTCACCGGAGGATATTTTTTTCCATTGCTTTTCAAAGAGAGTAGAAGGGGGAAGGAAGGGAGGGGGGAGAGAGAGGAATGTCAATGTGAGAGAGACACATCGATTGGTTGCCTCCCACACCATCCCGACTATGGCCATGGATCCAGCCTGCAACCGAGGTACATGCCCTTGGCTGGAATCAAAATCTGCAGTCTGACGCTCTAACCACTGAGCCAAACTGGCCAGGGCAATGTACACTATTTTTTTTTCTAATGGAGCTATCACTAATAATCACAGTATTCAAATTCTCTTTCATATATTTCATTCTTTGCTGGTGCCAAAAATGGGAGCAACATTGATAAAAGGTCCTTTTGCAGGCATTATGCCAAGTGAAATAAGGCAGACAAAAGAAGACAAATACTATATGATTTCACTTATATGTGGAATCTTCAAAAAAAAAAGTACTGAGTTCATAGGTACAGAGAACAGATTGGTGGTTGATGGGGATGGAGAAGCGAAATGGGTAAAGGTGGTCAAATGGTAAAAACTTCCAGTTATAGCCCAGCTGGTGTTGCTCAGTCACAGTTCAATTCCCAGCTGGATCCCCAGAAGGAGGTGTGCAGGAGGCAGACAATCGATGACTCTCTTTCATCACTGATGTTTCTGTCTCTCTCCCTCTCCCTTTGTCCCTCTGAAATCAATTAAAACATAAAAAAAACCCTACCAAACAAACAAAACTTCGAGTTTTAAAATGAATTAAGTCTCAAGAATGTAATGTACAGTGTGGTGACTATAGTTGATACATTTGAAAGTTGCTAAGAGATCTTAAAAGTTCTCATCACAAGAAAAAAATTGCTATGGTAGCTTCATTAGATTTGAAGAAGACTTGGATTCAGATCACAGCTCTTTTGCTTATTAGCAGAATTATAATGGGCAATTCATTTAACCTTCCTGATATTCTAATTTCTTTCTCCCTAACATGAGAATAACCAAATCTACTGTGTATAGTTATTATAAATAATTTTTAAAGCTACTGTATGTGAAGGTAAATTACAAAGAACTATGTAAAGATATTAAAGAATTATTATTTGAAAGGATTCTCTTAACCTTAAAAGTGAAAAGACATTGTAAAATGTAGTAATTTCCTGAAAGTGAATAGGTTATTATTTTTTCCATATTTTTTCACTGTCATATGAATGGAGCTCTGCATACAGTAGGGAATAAATGCTATTAATTAAACATGTTTAGTAGAGGAAGTGTTTTGTATTTATTTCCTATACTGTATATTAATATGAGAAAAACATGGGAAACTCAGGCCTGGGTTTCAACAGAGATGTTGTCACTTATTAGCAAATTTGCGTCAGTAGACATGGTCTGAGTCTCAAATTTCTTTTCTCTTTATGTTGGGGATAATATTTACCTTTCAGGGCTGCTGTGTGAGGTTCAAGTGTAAAGCACCAAGCACAGTGGTTGGCACAGAGCTTGCAGAAAATGTTAATTCCGTTTTCCCCCCAAGAGTACTATAATGTTGGAATAGTAATTTAAAAAGCCGAATAATGATAATTTCTCAGTAGCTAAAAATTCTTAACCATCATTTTTTATTTCTTTTGCTGACTTCTGTATCATTTTAACTTTTAGGGGTCCACCTCCCCTCCCAGCCCCAGTGTTTTGAAAAGCAGTTTTTATTTTGTATGCTTTTTCAGGTGATTAAAAAAAATCATTTTGACGTTAAGTCTACACCATGGATAACACAAAGGAGAAGAATTCCAATTACAAAGATGATCTTCTGCTTAGGATGGGACTTAATGATAATAAAGCCGGGATGGAAGGATTAGATAAAGAGAAAATAAACAAAATTATAATGGAAGCCACAAAGGTATGTTTCTTGTTTCTTTTAATATCCTTAATTTAGTAACATACTTTCCATTTAAATGAAAATCAGTAAGTTTTAAACACTCTTTTTATTATAATTTTAAATATATTAATATATAATATTGTTAAGCTACAAATGGCCATGGGGTAATCTCCTTTCTATTCTGTTGCTCTTGCCATCCAGTTTTGTACTTCACGTATACATAATATGCATGTAAAAGCAAATACAGCATGCATTTTTTTTGTACCCATTTTTTAACCCTAGTAGGAGAATACTCTAATTGTTGTGTTTTTTCATTTTGTTTCAGTTAATATAACTTGGAGGTCTTTCTTTATAAGTAATTAAAGATCTTCATTCTTTTTTATGCTACATTTATGGATCTAATATAATTTTTTGAACCATTCAGAATCTAAATTTGTGTCATTGAAAATGACAACTGTCATTTCTAGTTTTTTGTTTTTGTAAATTATACTATAATGAATCACCCTGTATTTTGTAACTTGACATATGTGCAAGTATAACATAGGAGAGATTCCCAGAAGTGGAATTGTTCCATCAAATGCAGATAGCACAACAGGTATATATGCATGTGCAATTTTTACGAATTGCCCAGTTGCCCTCTGTTGTGGTTGTATCAGTTTACATTTCTACTGTCAATATGTGATAGTGTGTATTATCATGCCACAAACGTGCCAACACTGTGTGTTACTGAACTTTTGGATTTGCCAAACTATGGTAACATAGTTTAGTATTCATTTGTATTTCTCTTATGAAAAGTGAGATTGTGCATCTTTTCTTATGTTTAAAAGTCATTTGTATTTCTTTTTTTACTAACTGCCTCTTCTTAGCCTTTGCACAGTTTTCTGTTGGATTATTGTGTATCTTTTGATTTTGTTCATGGTAGTTTTTCCTGGGCAGAAGTTTTTTGTTTGCTTCTTTTTATGTACTTGAATTAGTCAACTACTTATGGCTTTCTCCAACATCATGAAAGAACTCTTTCTTTTTTCAACCCAAGCATTTTTTCCCCCGTTGCTTTTCAGAGAGAGTGGAAGGGAGAAAAGGAGAAACATTGATGTGAGAGAGATACACGGACTGGTTGCCTCCCGCATGCACCCCAACTGGGGCTGGGGATCGAGCCTGCAACTGAGGTATGTGCCCTTGGCCGGAGTCCAACACAGGACCCTTCAATCCACAGGTTGACGCTCTAACCACTGAGCCAAACCGGCCAGGGCCATGAAAGAATTCTTTAATAGGTTTTTTCATACGGCTTTTTTCTTCTTCATTCTGGGTTGTAGTAGATTTAAAACAATGACAGTGAAATGTGTGCATCCATACAGAAAGGTGTAAAATTTAAGAGAATATCCTCATTCTTAAGAAATGCATGCTGATATTCATAGCAACTTACTTCTCATGGTTTAGTCAAAAACGGGGAGGAAAGGCCTTGGCCTGTTTGCACAGTGGTTGGAGTGTTGGCCCGCGCACCGGAGGGTCTCAGGTTGGATTCCCAGTCAGGGGCAAGTACCTGGGTGGCAGGTTAAATCCTCAGCCCTGGTCAGGGCACATGCGGGAGGCACCCAATCTATGTCTCCCTCC